GTGTACCCTTTACTGAGGAGAAGAGAAGCAGAGCACAGTCTGAAGAAAAAAAAAAAGGGACTATATAATACACATCCTTTTAAGGCATATACAAGGCTTGAATCTCATCTTTAAACTAGTGGAGAACATTGTATAATTTTAAACCAAAACTACATGTGCTTCCTCAGGTACTCTGAGACCAAAGGTAAGAGTTCTGTCAGTAATTAGTTTAGCAGTCAATACTCAGTAGCAAATAGATATTTTCTTTTGCTATCTCTCTCTCTGATTATATTTCTCTCTTTCCCCTTCCTTCCCTCATTCCTCATTCTCCCTTCATGTTTTTGGATTCTCTTGATAGCTCTTTCTGTCTCACACACTTATAAATGTTTCCTAATGAATAAGTTTTTAAAAAGTGAGTACATATTAGCACTCATTGACTTACATTCAAAGTTTTGAAAGAAAAAAGAATGTCAGTCAAGAATCTGTTTTATAAACTTTTTTTCTATTCTCCCTCTTAAGTCCATCAAACAAGAATTTTATATTCAGCAAGACTGTATTTCAAAACTTAAGGTGAAATAAATAACTTCACAGATAAACAAAAACTGAAAGAATTATCGATAGCCTGTTCACTTTATAGAAAAGATTAAAAGGGAATCTTCAGACTGTAAGCAAGTGACTTCCAACTATAATTTGAATCCACATAAAAAAAGAGAGAGCACTAATACAGGTAATTTTGTAATTATAATAATCAGAATAAATGCCAACTTATTTTTCTTTCTTCCCTGATATGATTTAATAAGCAGCCAAATGAAACAATGTGTATGTAATTGTGTTGTTGTACTTATAATATAGAAATGTAAGGTATTTGACAAAATACCGCAAAAGAGATGGATTGAGAGTAAACCTCAGTTACCATAGGGCAATGACACCTGGTGATAACTCAAATCCACAGGAACAAATGAAAGAACTAGAAATGATAAATGTTAATATAATATACCCTCTAATTATAACTGGTTCTTTTTTCTTCTCTTTATTTAAAATATATAAAAATAAAAATATTATTTATAAAACAATCTAATACAGGGCAGCAGGACACATTATTTGAAAGTGAACACAGAACATTCAGTATAGTCTATATTGTAGGCAAAACAACAAGCCAAATCATATCTAAAACGATTGAATCTCCAAAAGTATTTTCTGTAATCATAATGCAATAAACTTACAAATCAAAAACAGAAACAATTTTGGAAATTTGCAACTATATGAAAAATTTAAAAACAACGTTTTGATTCTCCTTGGAGTGCGGAATAATAGGCTCCCTTAAAAAAATTTTAAGAGCGTCACCCTCAGAAACTCTTAGAAAATGGAATCCAGCAGACATTTCCCGTGAGGGTCAGGAGAAAGACCCACACGTCAAACGTGGTACCTGAATACGCACCAATTAGCTCCCCAAAACAACAAAACCCGCAACCCCCATCCCCCTACTAATACATAACTCAAAGTGAGTCAGAACTCCAGTGTAGTAAAGAAAGCTTAGGAAAAGATTTAAGTTCTGAGGAGTCCAAATATTAATTAAGAGCAAATCAGGGACCCCTTGCCCTCCCGCTACCACAGAATCTAAGACCTTTAGCTTCCAGCCAGAGGCTGATGATCCCGAGCAAAAGCCTTCCTCGGACATCAAGGGCTTCCTTGGTCTCAAGGACTCCCAGGGCAAACCTAGTTCCCCCCAAAACTTGAAGTCAGAGAAGCTGCGGCTACTCATTCCACAAAGTGCTGGCACTTAACACCCACAACCTGGAAGGCTGTGGACCGATTCCTCTAGGGTGGTGACCTCCCATCAGCAAAAGGTGTCATGGTTTGGAATGTTCATTGTCGCTGAGGACTTGGTTAGAGTCTCAGGGCATAAAGACCTTTTTTCACCGTTACCTAACTTTTTCCCCCTCTCAAGATTTTTTTTTTTTTTGTGGTATGTTGTACAGCAGTATATTTTTTCACTTATTTATTCCATTAGTAGATACAGTTTGTACAATGTACAATGGTTTCATTTCAGAAAATAAAAAAATTTCAAACCATGAAAAAAATTGTATTTATAATGACCTAAAAATAATAAAATACCTAGGTATAAGTTTAAATATGGAAGTGCAAAGCTTACATAAAACAATAATTATATAGTTTTATGTTTTATAAAACTATAAAACATTGTTCAAGTAAATTAAAGAAGACCTAAATAAATTGGCATTCCATGTCCATAGATCAGAAGACTTACTATTAACAAGGTTAATATTCCCCAGGTTGATGTATAGATTCAATAAAATTCTATAAAATCTCATCTTGTTCTTTTTTTTTTTTTTTTTTTTTTTGAGACAGAGTCTCGCTCTGTAGCCCGGGCTGGAGTGCAGTGGCCGGATCTCAGCTCACTGCAAGCTCTGCCTCCCAGGTGTACGCCATTCTCCTGCCTCAGCCTCCCGAGTAGCTGGGACTACAGGGGCCCGCCACCTCGCCCGGCTAGTTTTTTGTATTTTTTAGTAGAGACGGGGTTTCACGGTGTTCGCCAGGATGGTCTCGATCTCCTGACCTCGTGATCCACCCGTCTCGGCCTCCCAAAGTGCTGGGATTACAGGCTTGAGCCACCGCGCCCGGCCCTTGTTCTTTTGAAGAAATTCATAACATGATCTTAAAATTTATATCAAATTCAAGGGATCCAGACTAGCCCAAATAATTTTGGAAACGAAGTGATTTTAGAGCACTCATTATTTCCAATTTCAAAACACACTACAAAGTCACAGTAATCAAAATGATTCAATACTGGTGAAAGAACAGACATACAGATTAATGGAAGATAATTGAGAGGCCAGAAATAAAATAAACTTTATATATCTATAGTAAATTGGTTTTCCACTAGGAAACCAAGACAATGCACTAGGAAAGAATACTGTTTTCAACAAGTGATACAGAATGAATCTATGAATTATTTTGGGCAGTATGGCCATTTTCACAATATCAATTCTTCCTATCCATGAACATGGAATCATTTTCCCTTTGTTTGTGTCCTCTCTTATTTCCTAGAGCAGTGGTTTGTAGTTCTCCTTGAAGAGATCCTTCACATCCCTTGTAAGTTATATTCCTAGATATTCAATTATCTTTGTAGCAATTGTGAATGGGAGTTCACTAATGATTTGGCTGTTTGTCTATTATTGCTGTATAGGAATGCTTGTAATTTTTGCACATTTATTTTTTATCCTGAGACTTTGCTGAAGTTGCTTATCAGCTTATGGAGATTTTGGGCTGAGACAATCGGGTTTTCTAAATGTACAATCATGTCATCTGCATACAGAGACAATTTGACTTCCTCTTTTCCTATTTTGAATACCCTTTATTTCTTTCTCTTGTCTGATTGCCCTGGACAGAACTTTGAGTACTATGTTGAATAGGAGTGGTGAGAGAGGGCATCCTTGGCTTGTGCCAGTTTTCAAAGGGAATGCTTCCAGGTTTTGTCCATTCAGTATGATATTGGCTGTGTGTTTGTTATAAATAGCTCTTATTATTTTGAGATACGTTCTATCAATACCTTGTTTATTAACGGTTTTTAGCATGAAGGGATGTTGAATTTTATCAAAGGCTTTTTCTGCATTTATTGAGATAATCATGTGGTTTTTGTCATTGGTTTTCTGTTTATGTGATGGATTACATTTATTGATTTACCTATATTCAACCAGCCTTGCATCCCAGGGATAAAGCCAACTTGATAATGGTGGGTAAGGTTTTTGATGTGCTATTGGATTCAGTTTGCCAGTATTTTATTGAGGATTTTTGCATCGATATTCATCAGAGATCTGGCCTAAAATTTTCTTTTTTTGTTGTGTCTCTGCCAGGTTTTGGTATCAGGATAGTGCTGGCCTCATAAAATGAGTTGGAGGGGGGTCCCTCTTTTTCTATTGTTTGGAATAGTTTGGAATAGTTTCAGAAGGAATGGTACCAGCTGCTCTTTGTATCTCTGGTAGAATTCGGCTATGAATCCGTCTGGTCCTGGGCTTTTTTTGGTTGGTAGACTATTAATTACTGCCTCAAATTCAGAACTTATTGGTCTATTCAGGAATTCAACTTCTTTTTGGTTTATTCTTGGGAGGGTGTATGTGTCTAGGAATTTATGAATTTCTTCTAGATTTTCTAGTTTATTTGCATAGAGGTGTTTATAGTATTCCCTGATGGTAGTTTGTATTTCTGTGGGATCAGTGGTAATATCCCCTTTATCATTTTTTTACTGTGTTTATTTGATTCTTCTCTCTTTTCTTCATGAGTCTGGCTAGCAGTCTATCTATTTTGTTGACCTTTTCAAAAAACCTCCTGGATTCATTGGATTTTTGAAGGGTTTTTGTGTGTGTGTGTCTCTATCTCCTGCGGTTTTGCTCTGATCTTAGTTATTTCTTGCCTTCTGCTAGCTTTTGAATTTGTTTGCTCTTGCTTCTCTAGTTCTTTTACTTGTGATGTTAGGGTTTCAATTTTAGATTTTCCCTGCTTTCTACTGTGGGCATTTAGTGCTATAAATTTTCCTCTACACAGAGCTTTAGTCATGTCCCAGAGGTCCCAGAGGTACATTGTGTCTTCGTTCTCATTGGTTTCAAAAACTTATTTATTTCTGCCTTAATTTCTTTATTACCCAGTAGTCATTCAGGAGCAGGTTGTTCAGTTTCCTTGTAGTTGTGCAGTTTTGAGTGAGTTTCTTAATCCTGAGTTCTAATTTGATTGCACTGTGGTCTGAGAGACTGTTTGTTATGATTTCTGTTCTTTTGCATTTACTGAGGAGTGTTTTAATTCCAATTATGTGGTCAATTTTAGAATAAGTATGATGTGGTACTGAGAAGAATGTCTCTGCAGAAACCCTACAAGTCAGAAGAGAGTGGGGGGCCAATATTCAACGCCTTTTTTTTTTTTTTTTTTTTTGAGACAGAATTCTGCTCTTGTTGCTGAGGCTGGAGTACAATGGTGTGATCTCAGCTCACCACAACCTCCACCTCCCAGGTTCAAACAATTCTCCTGCCTCAGCCTCCCAAGTAGCTGGGATTACAGGTATGTACCACCATGTCCAGCTAATTTTTTGTAATTTTAGTAGAGACAGGATTTCTCCATGTTGGTCAGGCTGATCTCGAACGCCTGACCTCAGCTGATCCACCGACCTTGGCCTTCCAAAGTGCTGGGATTACAGGCATGAGCCACTGCGCCTGACCTCAACATTCTTAGAGAAAAGAATTTTCAACCCAGAATTTTATATCCAGCCAAACGAAGCTTCATAAGTAAAGGAGAAAGAAAATCCTTTACAGACAAGCACATGTTGAGAGATTTTATCACTACTGGGCTTGCCTTATAAGAGCTCCTGAAGGAAGCACTAAACACGGAAAGGAAAAACCAGTAACAGCCACTGCAAAAACATACCAAATTGTAAAGGACATTGACACTCTGAGGAAACCATCTGAATTAAAGGGGAAAATAACCAGCTAGCATCATAATGACAGGATCAAATTCACATATAACAATATTAACCTTAAATGTAAATGGGCTAAATCCCTCAATTAAAATAACACACTGGCAAATTGGGTAAAGTGTCAAGACCCATGGGTGTGCTTATTCAGGAGACCCATGTAATGTGCAAAGACACACATAGGCTTAAAATAAAGGAATAGAGGAATATTTACCAAGCAAATGGAAAGAAAAAAAAAAAAGCAGGGGTTGCAATCCTAGTCTCTGATAAAACAGACTTTAAACCAACAAAGATGAAAAAAGACAAAGGTTATTACATAATGGTAAAGGGATAAATGCAACAAGAAGAGCTAACTATCTTAAATATATATGCGCCTAATACAGGAGCACCCAGATTCATAAAGCAAGTTCTTAGAGACCTACAAAGAGACTTAGACTCCCACATAATAACAGTGGGAGGCTTTAACACCCCACTGTCAATATTAGACAGGTCAACCAGACAGAAAATTAACAAGGGTATTCAGGACTTGAACTCAGCTCTTGAGCAAGTGGACCTAATAGACATCTACAGAACTCTCCACCCAAAATCAACAGAATATACAACATTTCTAAATGTCACTGAATTGCATTATTTAATTTGGTGGATGTTATGTGCATTATATTCTAAAAAGCCATTATTTAAAATATAATTTGTCATATTTAGCAAATGATAAATAAAGCATATTATCATCTCAATAGATGCAGAAAAAGCATTTGAGAGAGTCCAGCATCCATTTCTGGTAAAATATTTCAATAAATGAGTTATAGTGATGATATGGTTTGGCTCTGTGTTCCCACCCACATCTCACCTTGAATTGTAATAATCTCCACATGTCAAGGGTGGGACCAGGTGGAGATAACTGAATCATGGGGGTGGTTCCTCCCATACTGTTCTTGTGATAGTGAGTTCTCATGTGATCTGATGGATTTATAAGGGGCTTTTACTTAAAACCCTTTTGCTTGGCACTTCTCCTTGATGCCGCCATGTGAAGAGGACATGTTTGCTTCCCCTTCCACCATGATTGTAAGTTTCCTGAAACCCCCAGCCATGCTGAACTCTGAGTCAATTAAACCTCTTTCCTTTGTAAATTACCCAGTCTTGGGTATGTCTTTATTAGCAGGATTAGAATGGACTAATGCAAGCAGTGAACTTTTTCAATCTACAAATCTACAGCTAAATTTATACTTTATAGTGAAATTATATGTGTTTTATTATAATGTCAGGAATAAGAAAAGACTGTCTGTTCTTGAAGTTTCTATTGAACATGGAACCATATATTCTAGCCAATGTAGTAAGGCAAGAAAAATATATAAAAGTCATCTAATGGAAAAGAAGTAAAAGTGGCTTCATTGCAAACGACATGACGATATGTGTAAGGCATCCAACAAAATGTACAAAAGTCTGCCACAACTAATAAGACTAATAAGTGAGTTTAGAAAGACTGTTGGAAAAAATAAATTGTGTCTATATACTAACAGTAAATAGTCAGAATTTGAAATAAAAAATACCAATCCTAATCAAAATTCCAGCAGGTTTTTATACCTGGAAATTGACAAATAAATGCTAAAATGTGTACAGATATTCAGCAATTTTTGGATAGACAAAACAGCTTTATAATAAGCTCTTTAGAGCAGGATTAAGCACACACAATTTCAATAATTATTTTAAATTAATCACCACATGAAATGATGGTGAGGATGTGGAGGAATTGGAACTCTCATATGCTGCCATTGAGAATGAAAATAATACTACCACTTTAAAAAATGGAGCAGTTTCTCATAAAGTTAAATATACGGTCACCATAAAATCGAGCTATTTCATTTTGAAGTATTTACCCAAGATAATTGAAAGCATATGACCATATCAAGACTTGTATATGAATATTGGTAGCAATTTTATTTGTAATAGCCAAATTTGTAACAACTCAAATGGTCAAAAACAGAGGAATGGAAAAGTTATAGTAAATTCATACAATGGACTATCACCCAGAAATGAAAAGGAATAAAATATTGTTATATACAATAGGATATATGCATCCCAAAATATTTATGTTTTATCAAAGTAGCACAGTATATAATCCCATTCATGTAAAATTTGAGAGAATTAAAATTAATCTAGAATGGCATAAAATAAATCTATCATTGTCATGCCATGGTGTGGGGTGAATGGTGAGAGCAGAGATACATTGTGAGTTTCGGATCCTAAAGAGGCATGAAGAAATTATTGGGTATGATATATATGTTGAATACAATATTGATTTTTGAGATGGTTTCACAGACATATACATGTCAAACATACCAAATTATACACATTAAATATGTGCAGTTTATTATATATCAACTATACCTCAATAAAGATATTTTAAAAGTATTTGTTTTAAAACTTCCTTACCAGGAAAACAATGGAATCAAAATATTAACAATGTAAAATTTGCAGGTTTAAATAGATACTGAATGATTACTGAAGGAGTACAGTGGCATAATGATTTACAATTTAAAGAGATTTTCCTGGATTTAAGCCAATACTAGTTATAAAGAAATCCCTTTAATGTTTTTTTCCCTACAATTTAAATGAAAAATGATGGTTAATTGAACTAGTGCTGTTTTTAGATATTTAGAGGGATGTGAGTGGTATATGGATATATTTAGGAGGGACTTTGTGATTAATGTGTGTGTAAAGGATGTGAGGAGTCAAGGATTCCTAGAATTCTCATTTGGGAAACTGAGCAGATGGTGCTAAGCATTAAAAAGTTTTGTTTTTATAGAAAATTATTTCATTTTAGTCAAATAAATGGAAAGGATTCTGTGACAGATTTAGAGAATCATTGTGAAGCTGTATGAGATTGTAGGACATATCCATCAGTAGAAAGACTGAAACAGATGAGGAACGCTAATCATAAATACTCATAGTCTGGATTGTGAATAGGATACCAAAGTGATGAGACGTAGGGTTTGTTCATTACAAGACTTTTCTTCATTCCATTTCAGTTGTCCCCTGTAGTGCTGGAGTGGGGAGTCAAGGAGTTGGCTTTCTGGTTTCTAGGTACGTATTCCTCATCTAATATACCTCTTATCAAGTGTTGGCATCTACTCTCCAATATCCTAATAAATAATTATTATGCCTCTGCTTGAAACTATATTGTGACAGGAACAATTCTCTGGCAAGAACTGTCTCAATCAGCCATTAAAATTATTGAAAGATTTCTTTTTATATTAAATTCAAAATCTACCCCCTTATTAATTCAATTAGCATATTTTTGAAGGCCTATGATATTCAAGTCTTACATAAAACACTATGATTAGATAGAAAATGAATTTTAAAATGTACCTGTCCTTTACTGACTCATAGCCTACTGAATTCATAGCTTACTGAATTCCAAATATTTTTCTTTGTTCATCAGAGCACGAAATATGAGGTGCATGTATTCCACAATAATGCTCAAATCTATCCTAATTCTACTTAGGCTAAATCTCTTCACTTTCCCAGATTTTCTTCAAACACCATGTCTTGAGTTCAATGTGGTAGTTGTTGCATGGATATCCTTCGTTGTATTAATGCTGTCTTAAAAGTGTGTCACAAAGGTATGATAATCAATTCAAATACAATGTGCAAATATTAAGGCAGTCTAACATGGCTTTAGATCATGTGGCAAGCAAAATCACTGTTGTATCACATTCAGCCCCTAGACAAATGAGTACAGAGAGATGGAAAAACAACTAATTTATGGTTTAGTGTTGCTACTTCTAGTCAGCAGAATCAGCTCTAATTTAAGTTGAAAGGAGATTATTTAGGGATATATAGATAAGTCACTGTACGCTTGGGAGGACTGAAGAAACAAACAAACTCTTGACTGGGCCTCTTGGGATGATTGTTAGCCATCCATACTGTAGCACAAGTCCTCCAAAGGGGTGACAGCAATTACCACAATCAGGAAGCACTAAGTCAGTAGGCTGCCACAGAACTGCCACAGCTCCTAGTGACAGAAGTACATAATTTCTGCCATAGTTCAGACAGTGCTGAATTAGGAACTGCCACACCAGCTGCCAGTTTCAGGATACGCTCTTACTGCCACAATCAGCATGAGAAAAGCGGATGGCCCATTGTGTATGTCTTTCCCTGTGTAATTCAGCCAAAATCAATGTCATAAACAGGGACATATGATTTCCAAAACCCAAGTCACTAAAACGCATCCTACAGCAGGTGAACCAGACAAGGCAGCTTGATAGATCTCACTCTGTAATGATGAGATTTACACTTTGCAAAACAATCAATATGGGAAGAGAGTGACAAACAGATGTGGGGTAAACTGATATCCACTGTTATCTGTTCATAGTTTTTCAGCATCAAGATACACACACATATATGTCTATATCTCTATATCTTTATCTGTCAATATCTATGAAATTCAGATAAAGAAAAAAAAAAAAAAAAAACCACATTCCCACCTATATTGGCCTCAGGTAAATCCCATGACTCTTCTCTCCCGCCTTCCCCAGAGGGACCTGTGGTCATGTCCCAGAGTGACTATACAATGGGCAAAGGGTAGTAATCAGAACTTCCAGGACTTATAAGATATTGAATCTTAAATTCATATTAATCTCTAGAGATCTGGAAAACCACTTCAGTTTGAGCACTTAAGTGATCAATGGAACTGTGATTCAAGTCAGTCTTATTGTGGTTCAGTGTGCCACAGACCAATCCTATGGGTATGTTTCCACTTGTAGCCGTTAGGGTGGTAATAACTGGCAGAAAGCCACGTGGGTTTCCCCAACCAGTGTGGAGATTTTATGTTACGAAGGGTCAAGTAGAAGTCTCTGAAACGGTCTCTGTCTCCCTTTCTACTTTCTAAGATGTCAATGATTCATTCCTTGAAGAAAATAACAGATTTAAGTACCAAAATTAGACAATGAAAAAATGCAGATGTGATGATCCCTCTCCTATTTTTTCTCTGTATTTGACCCATGAATAAGCCAGGTATGTTATGAATAAGGACTGTTATCTCAAATGCAGTCTGATGGTAATGCCAATCACAGCTCCAGTTCTAGATATGATGTCTTTATACTAGCAGATAAACAAGGGCCTTGGTGTCCATTATCCAGTTATTGACCTGGAAAAAAATGCTTTTTGTTCCCATCCCTATGAGAATAATTAAAAGAAATTTGCCTGAATGACAGGGAAAAGCAGCTTGCCTTAACGCTATGTCAAAGGTACCATTCTCTGTCATAACATAGTCTAGAGAGTTGCTGATCACCTGGATATCTTACCGAGCATTGTGCTCACTCATTACATGGATGACAGTGTACTGATATGACCTAGTAAACGGGAAATAGTAAGAACTCTAGGTGCACTAGGATTGTGCCCCATAGATGAGGTTTCAAATTGAATTCAAATGTTTAATAAGATATCATATATGTTATGAATTATTTAAGCATCTTTCAACACATTCTTATACAGGTTAAAGTTTAGCTGTGGACAGTATTATTTCAGTGATTCAATGAGGGTATGTAGGACCATTTACTTTAAAGCATGAGATACATTGCTGTACCTTGCATCTCTGACACAAACAAAGAGACACAAGCTTTGTGTGCCTCACATTTGGAATAAAAACCACATTTGAAAATCTGCTTTGATTCATTTGCTGGTTTACCAACAAGGCTCAGCACTGAAACCAAAAAAAAAGACTCAGCTTTAATTCTGAGCTAATGTTCATATTGCCAGTCACTTGTGCTTTATGGTCTAGTAGATCCAATGGTATTGGAAGTATTGTGATAAACAGAGAAGTTGCATAGAACTTCTGGAGAGCCATCACAAAAGGATAACAGCACAGATTTTTAAGGTTCTGAAATAAAGCCATATCTTCTCCCAATAACTATTCTCTATTTGAAATGCAGCCCTGCCTTGTTATTGGGAGTTTGTAGAATGAACACCTGTTCATGGGACACCACAACTATACAACTTGTATTGTACATCATGAATTATTGTGAGTGATCTGATCCACTGAACCATAAAATTGGATGTGCATAGCAGCATTCCATTGTGAAGTGAAAATGGTATATATTATGCTTGGCCACATAGGTTTTGAAAGGCACAAATAAACTGTATGAACAGATGGCTCAGAGTCCCGTGGTACTTGCTCCTGCTGCTTCACTGCCTCTCCCTCAGCTACTCATATGACCTCACGGGGAGTTTCCCATGATCAGTTAATGGAGTAACAAAAAATTTGAGGCTGGTTTACTGTTAGATTTCCAAGATATACTGGTACTGGCTGGAAGGAGACTGCTACTGCATACGTCTGTGCTCCATAAAAACCCTTGAACACCGCGGTAAAGAAAAAACCTTTTGATAGTTCACTTCCTAGGGAAGGAGAGATGGCCTGATTAATGCATCTACAGTGATTGATTAGGGGCAGCTAATGAATTGGCTGCTATCTAAGTTTCCGGTCATATTGGGAAAAAAAGAGAAGAATATTCTCCAAGGATTTCTTGGAAATAGGAATAGAACTATAGCTTTTAGAATGGACAGAGTGTGAAGATATTTATATCTTATGTAAATTCCCACTAGGAAAAAATCCACTTTGGTACAGAGTATCAGTAATCTGGTAGACAAGATGAGCCATCCTGTGGGTAACAGTATATATTTTCCCCTAGTCGTATTGCTTTTTTTAATTTTAGTTTTTAATTTTTGTGGGTGCATAGTAGGTATGTATACTTACAGGGTACCTGAGATGCTTTGATACAGGCATGTAATGTGAAATAAGCACATCACAGAGAATGGACTATCTATCCCTTCAAACATTTATTCATTCAGTTATCAACAATCCAGCCACACTCTAAGTTATTTTAAAATATACAATCAAGTTACTATTGGCTATAGTTACCCTGTTGTGCTATCAAATAGTAGGTCCCATTCATTCTTCTATTTTTTTGACCCATTAATCATCCCCACCTCCCCTCCATCCTATCACTATTTTTCCCAGTTCTGGTCACATCCTTCCGCTCTCTATGTTCACGAGTTCAATTGTGTTAATTTTTAGATCCCACAAATAAATGAAAATGTGATGTTCGTCTTTCTATGCCTGCTTATTTCACTTAACATAATGATCTCCAGTTGCATCCCTGTTGTTGCAAATGACTGGATCTCATTCTTTTTATGGCTGAATAGTACTCCATTGTGTATATGTGCCACATTTTCTGTATCCATTCATCTGGTGATGGGTATTTAGGTTGCTTCCATATCTTAGCTACTGTAAACAGTGCTGCAACTAAGATAGGAATGTAGATATCCCTTCCATATACTGATTTCCTTTCTTTTAGGTATATACCCAGCCATGGATTGCTGTATCATGTGCTAGCTCAACTTTTAGTTTTATGAGGAACCTCCAAACTGTTCTCCATAGTGGTTGTTCTAATTTATATTCCCAGCAATGGTATACAAGGGTTCCCTTTCCTGTATATCCTCACCAGCATTTGTTATTGCCTGTCTTTTGAATATAAGCCATTTTAACTGGGGTGAATGATATATAATTGCATTTTTTATTTGCATTCCTCTGATGATCAACGATATTGAGCACCTTTTCATATGCTCTTTTGCCATTTGTATGTCTTCTTTTGAGACATGTCTAATCAAATCTTTTGCCCATTTTTTGATCAGATTGTTAGTTTTTTTTCCTATAGAATTGTTTGAGCTCCTTATGTATTCTGGTTATAAACCCCTTGTCAGATGGATAGTTTGCAAATATTCTCTCCCATTTTGTGCATTGTCTTTTCACATTGTTGATTGTATGCTTTGCTGTGCAGAAGCTTTTTAACTTGATGTAATCCCTTTGTCTATATTTGCTTTGATTGTCTGTGCTTGTTGAATATTGCTGAAGAAATTTTTGTCCAGACTCATGTCCCGGAGATTTCTCCCAGTATTTTCTTGTAGTAGTTTCATAGTTTGAAGTCTTAGAATCAAATCTTTAAGTCACTTTTATTTTATTTTTGTATATGTCAAGAAAGAGGTATCTAGTATCATTCTTCTGCAAATGGATATCCAGTTTTCCCAGCACCATTTATTGAAGGGACTGTCTTTTCCCCAGTGTATGTTCTTGGCACCTTTGTCAAAAATGGGTTCACTGTGGGTGGGTAGATTTGTTTCTGGGTTCTCTATTCTGTTCCATTGGTCTATGTGTCTGTTTTTATGCCAGTACCATGCTGTTTGGGTTTGTTTGCCCTGTAGTATAATTTGAAATCAGGTAACATGATTTCTCCAGTTTTGTTCTTTTTGCTTAGGACAGTTTTGGCTATTCTGGGTTATCTGTGGTTCCATACAAATTTTAGAATTTTTTTCCTGTTTCTGTTAAGAATGTAATTGGTATTTCGATAGGGATTGCACTAAATCTGTAGATTACTTTGGGTCATATAGGCATTTTAACAATATTGATTATTCCAGTCCATGAACATAGAATAATTTTTCATTTTTTATTGTCTTCTTCAACTTCATTCATTAGTGTTTTACAGTTTTCATTATAGTGATCTCTCATTTATTTGGTTAATTTCCAGGTATTTAATTTTATGTATGGCTATTGTAAATGGCGGATTTCTTTATTTCCTTTTTACATTATTCATTGTTGGCATATAGAAATGCTACTGATTTTTGTATGTTGATTTTCTATCCTGAAACTTTACTGGATTTGTTTGTCAGTTCTAATAGTTTTCTTGTAGAGTATTTAGGTTTTACAAAATATAAGATCATACTATTTGCAAAAAAAATCGATAATTTGACTTCTTCCTTTCCAATGTGGATACCGTTTATATCTTCCTCTTTTATGACTGCTCTAGCTAGGATTTCCAGTACAATGTTGAATAACAGTGTTGACAGTGGGCATCCTTGTGATGTTACAGATGCTAGAGGAAAGACTTTCAGTTTTTCCCCATTCAGTATGATACTAGCTGTGGGTCTGTCATATCTGGCTTTTATTATGATTAGGCATGTTCCTCCTATCTCTAGGTTTTTGATGGTTTTTATCATGAATTTTGTCATGTATGTTGAATTTTGTCAAATGCTCTTTCAGCATCAGTTGAAATGATCATAAAATTTGTCTTTTATTCTATTAATATGATGTATCACATTTATTGATCTACGTATGTTGAACCATGTTGCATCCCAGAAATAAGTCTCACTTGGTTATGATGAACGATCTTTCTACCATATTGGTGAATTCAATTTGCTAGTATTTTGTTAAGGATTTTTGCATCAATATTCATCAGAGATATGGCCTGTAGTATTTATTTGTTTGTTTATTTATTTATTTATTTATTTATTTGTGTGTGTGTGTGTGTCTTTGTTTGGTTTTGGTATCAGGGTAATACTGGTCTCATAGAATGAGTTTGGAATAATCCCCTCCTCCTCTACTTTTTGGAATAGTTTTAGTAGGATTGGCGTTAGTTCTTTAAATGTTTAGTAGAATTCAGCTGTGAAGCCATCATGTCCCTGACTTTTTTTACTGGGAGACTTTTTATTATGGCTTTGATTTCATTACGTGTTACTACTCTGTTCAGGTTTTGGAATTCCTTTTGGTTCAATCTTGGTAGGTTTTATGCATCTAGGAATTTTTCCATTTCTTCCATATTTTCCAATAAATTGGAATATATTTGCTCATAGTAGCCACTAATGATCCTTTGAATTTCTGCAGTATTAGCTGTAAAGTCTCCTTTTTCATTTCTGGTTTTATTTATTTGGATCCTCTCTGTTTATTTCTTAGTTAGCCTGTCTAAAGGTTTGTCAACTTTCTTTAACTTTTCAAAAAAAAAAAAAAAAAAAAAAACCAGGTTTTGTTTTATTGATCTTTTGTATTATTTTCTTCATTTCAATTTCATTTACTTCTGCTCTGATGTTTATTATTTCTTTTCCTCTACTAATTTTGGATTTGTTTTACACTTTTCTAGTTTTTTAAGATGCATCATTAGATTGTTTATTTGAATTTTTCCTCTTTTTTGAGGTAGGCATTTATAACTACAAACTTCCCTCTTAGTACGGCCTTTGCTGTATCCCACAGGATTTGGTGTGTTGTGTTCCCATTATCATTTGTTTCAAAACATTTTTTTCAATTTTTTTCTTAATTTCTTTATTGACTTACTGGTCATTCAGGAGCATATTATTATTATTATTGTTATTTTGTGACAAAGTCTTCCTCTATCACCTAGGCTGGAGTGCAGTGGCACAATCTCAGCTTACTGCAACTTCCACATCCCGGGTTCAAGCGATTCTCCTGCCTCAGCCTCCCGAGTATCTGGGACTACAGGCACATAACCCTATGCCTGGCTAATTTTTGTACTTTTAGTAGAGATGGGGTTTCAGCATTTTGGCCAGGCTGGTCTCGAACTCCTGACCTCAAATGATCCGCCTGCCTCGGCTTCCCAAATTGCTGGGATTACAGGCATGAGCCACCAGGCCCAGCCCAGGAGCATATTATTTAACTGACATGTATTTGTATAGTTTCTAAAATTCCTCTTGTTCTTAATTTCTAGTTTTATTCCATTGTGATACAGAAGATGCTTGATATTATTTCCATTTTTGATTGGTTTAAGACTTGTGTGATCTAACATATGTTCTGTCTTTGAGAATTATCCATACTCTGAAGAAAAGAATGTGTATTCTCCAGCTCTTGTATAAAATGTACTGTAAATTTCTGTTAGATACATGTGGTCTATAGTGCAGATTAAGTCTTATGTTTCTTTGTTGATCTGCTGTCTGGAAGCTCTCTCCAACGCTGAAAGTGGCGTGTTGATGTCTCCAGCTATTATTCTATTGGGGCCTATTTCTCCCTTGGCTCAAAAAATATTTGCTTTATATTTATGGGTACTCCCGTGTTGGGTATATATTATATTTAAAAGTGTTATGTCCTCTTGCTAAATTGACCCCTTTATCATTATATAATGATCTTATTTGTCTTTTCTTAAAGTTTTTGTCTTGAAATCTGTTTTGTCTAATAGAAGTATCCTGCTCCTTTTTTGGTTTCTATTGGCATGGAATATCTTTTTCCATTCCTTTATTTTTAGTCTACCTGTGTCTTTATAGGTGAAGTGTGTTTCTTGTAGGCCAAAGATCAATGTGTCTTGTTTTTTATCCATTCAGCCAGTCTTTTGATTGGAAAGTTTAGTCTATTTACATGCAATGTTATTATAGATAAGTGAGGGCTTACTCCTGCCATTTTGTTACTTGTTTTCTTGTTGTTTTGTGGTCTTCTTTTTCTTCTCTCTTTCCTTCTTGTCTTCCTTTAATGAAGGGTTGGTTTGATTTCATTGTTTACTCTTTTTACTTAGGATAAGAGTAGTTTACACACAACAGTTAGTGTTACAATATTATGTGTTCTTCTGTGTACTTATTATTACCAGTGAGTTTGAGTTTTGTACTTTCAGGTGATAAATTATTGCTCATTAATGTCCTTTTATTTCTGATTGACATACTCCCTTTTGCACTTCTTGTAGGGCAGGTCTGGTATTAAAGGATATTTCCACTGGATATGCTATTCTAAGGTAAAAAAATGTTCCCCCTTCAGCACTTTAAATAGGTCATGCCACTCTCTCCTGGACTATAAAGTTGCCACTGAAAAGTCTGCTGCCAGATGTATTACAGCTCCATTTTATGTTATTTGGTTCTTTTCTCCTGCTTCTTTTAGAATCTGTTCTTTATCCTTGATCTTTGGGAGTCTGATTAGTAAACACCTGAAGGTAGTCTTCTTTGGATTAAATCTACTTTGTGTTCTGGAACCTTCTTGTACTTAGATACTGGTATTTTTCTTTAGGCTTGGGAAAGTGTCTGTTGTTATTCCTTTGA